TGCTCCTGACTTCATCTTGCTCCAGAAGCAAGAGCTGGAACCAATGTTTCTTATTAGCCAGCTGGAATTAATTTAAATCATTGAAGGGCAGGTTGGATGGGGCTTGGAGCAGCCTGGGCTGGTGGGAGATGTCCCTGCCCATGCAGGGGGTTGGATCTAGATGATCTTTAAGGTCCTTTCAGTCCAAACCAGTCTGGGATTCTATCATTAATCTATGATTAAAACACCTTGCACTAAAGGCTCAGGATCAAACCTCCCCAAAGCCACCAAGGAGCTGCACTCCCAACAGTGACACTGGGACTCAGTGCTGTCCTTCCCCCAGCACTGATTTTTTGGGCTGCAAAACCTCCTCAGCAGAAAACAAAAGCAAAACACTGGCTGAACAAAGGGGCATGTAATGCACAAGGTGGCTGCTGCCCCTGTGAGTCACCATGCCCTCTAATCCCAGTCTCACCCAGGCAGATTAAGGCATCAAACACTGACTCACTGTCCCAGAGTCAGCCACATCCCACCATAAAATCCGACACTCCCAGCTAAGGAAGAATTTTCACAGCTTTTCCCCTCCCCAAGGACACTGGGGCTGGCTCCCCACAGTTCCTGTTTGCTGCTGGGGCTCAGCAAAACACCAGCCATAGGAAGCACATTGCAGCTCAGGTTTTTAAATGAAAGACTGGGGGGAAAAAACAACCAACCACCAAAAAAACCCCAGAAAACCTTCTTTCCAGCAGTGCTTTTAGCTCCATGACAAATGGGCTGTGATCCTTCTTCAAGCATCAGCTCTTGGTTCACCCCTGGGCTGGTGAGGTACAGGCAGACCTGCTTGCAGACGAGAAGATATAAAATGTAATTAAGTGGCTCCACCACAGGCTGGCCAGAGCCAGCTCTGCTGGTCCAGACATCAAAAATCACCATCATGGCAGGGCTGGTCCATCTCAGCTACTGTCTCAGCCCCAACAGCACCCAGCACTCACCTTCCCAAAGCATCAGCCCTGAGGACACAGGGCTCTGCTCAGGCAGGAGGCCAAGTGCTCCTGACTTCATCTTGCTCCAGAAGCAAGAGCTGGAACCAATGTTTCTTATTAGCCAGCTGGAATTAATTTAAATCATTATTTCTTTTTACCCTGGCTTAAATTAGCAGACAGGAAGCATCTTTTAAATTGATTTGCTTTATCCTGTTTTGCATTTGTAGTTTCATTTTTCTTAAGGGAGGTCACTGGTAAAACCTTTCAAGGGTGCAGCTGACACTTCTATAGCCTCTTGACCCTAAATTCAAGGCTGGTTTTGGTCAACATGAGCCACCAACCCTGTACACTTTTGAAGCTGTTACCATACCTAGTTAACACATGTTCAGGTTTTTCTACTACAGTAATTTTTACTTGCTTTGCAAAATGGCCTTTAGGTGAAAGGTAATGAAAGCAAAAGAAACACAAGGACATTGGGGGTTTTTTAGCTGCTTTGCCATGACTGATGGTTTCAACAGCCATTTGCCTCTTGAACAACTGAACAATTCGCATGCACCCTCAGTAGGTTTGTGGATAAGCTCAGTCCAGCTGCTTCTTCACTGCCTGGAGTTGAACCAGTTTGAGGGATTTTTCTTTTTGTATTTTCTTGGTCATAGAATCACAGAATTGTCAAGCCTGACCTTGAATGTCTCTAGGGATGGGGCCCTCACCACCTCTCTAGGCAACAAATGCTCTTCCCAAGTTCAAGGCAGGACAAATCACACGTCCTCCTTCACACATGCAGATTTTAAAATAGTTTTGGTGAAGCTTGGTATATTTTCTACCTATCTATTTCTATATATTTACTGCTTTGCCACACTGCATCTGCTCTTCATCTGTGGTGATCAACAACGGATGCTTCAGTGAGCAGGACAAGGGAGTGAGCACTAGTGCCTTTTCACATAAGAAATTAAACTTCCTCTTAGTGAAGAGCAACCTCTACTTAAATATTATTTTTGCCATTTTAATAAGACTTTTCTCCCATTGAAACACCCGTATCTTTGGTTGTTTGGGCCACGGACTCAAGTTTTGCACCAATGTTCTTGAAAATGAGGCTTTGTGCTCAGCTTCTGGGGTCCTTTTCTGAAAGTTTCTACACTGAATAGCTTTTCAGAGGTAACTATAAATTAGACTGAGTCTTCTTGAAGTATGTGTAAACCTAATTTTGATTTAAATGGCAGAATCCAGCTACAGTCCTGCCCTCCTGCTCTCAGCCCCACCAAACTAAAGGCAGTTCAGTTTAATCCCACTCTTACCAAGGCTAAAATCCATGCACAGAACTGGGCACAGAAAGAACCTGTCCAGCTCTGTGCCTGCTGCTTGTCTCCAGGCAACCAAGGAAGCCAACACAAATGATCACAAATGGACCATAGAATTTTAAGCATGATGGATGTTCTAAGCTTCACCTTTACTAGAAGGAAATGTAACTGAGTCAAGTCAGAATCAAACCTCAACAAGAGAAACGGCACCTCCCCTCACAGCCAGCACTCATCAGCCCTCCAACCCTGGGCCCCTGCTTGGATCAATTAGTGTCCAACAAGGTGGAGCTGAGCAAGGTTGAGCTTTAACGTGCAAAGTTTTACAGTCAGGGCTCTGAGCAGAGCTCCACCTCAGTGCTGGGATTTATCACTCAGATTACATCAGTTTTCAGGGAGCAGTAGATGTTTTCCAGCAGAAAGGTCTTTGTCCTGAGCATTAAGGCAATTAATATATGAGTTTCAGAGTGGGGCAGCTCAGGAAGCTGGTCCTCACAGAGCTCCCCAGGCAAATTTCTGAAGTCATACAAGTGGAAAGATTTAATAATCCAACACCGAGTTTCTATAAACTTCAAACCCTTGCACACACCTACTATTGTCCTATCTGTTGACACAACAAATACATCTTTATTATGAACTACAGATATTGACCTGCCAGTGACTCACTTCATCCTTACCTTCCCACCTGCAGACTCATTTGAATTATACAATCCAATTAAACTTGAATTATTTTATTTTCATCGGATTGTTAGTTATTCCAGCAAGTCACTTGCTGAAACCCCTGTATCTGTAGTTTCGGGGAGCCTTGATTAACAAGCAAACACACAGCATGAGCAGATTCAGAATACAAAGTGCAAGTAAGATTCCCACACCAGAGGTTCTCCCACGTTGCACAAGGCACCCAACACAGCTCCCTTCTGAGCTGCAGCAGCACAACCACAAATGAAAAGGGTTGAAAAAGAGAGAGCTCTGTTAACCAAGAAGATTGAGTGACGAAGAGAACAGAGAAGTTTGGGTTTGGATGATGGGATCTCAGTTACAGAGGATCAGGAGAGGAATTCAGTGATGTAATTCAACAGTTCAGCAGGAGAATGCTGCACAGTACAGACACAAATCCCCCAGGCACTCATCCCAGAGAGTGATTTTGTACTACAAAGCACCTTTGCAACAGCATTTAGGAGCAGCAAGAAACAGCTCATGAGCAGACAAGGCTGGTGACCACCTGAGTGGTGTTTGAATGCAATGTCAGTATTTGAATCAATGATTGAGTAGGAAGGAATTAAAATATTAAACTGAACATGGTTTAGAAGTTAGTCTTCCTAAAGAGCATATTTAATTGCTCTTTTTAAACCTAAACCATTCATTATGGATGTCAAAAAAAAAAAAAAAGAGAAAGAGGGAGCAAGTAACAAAACAAACTCCAAAGGAAAAAAAAAAAGGTGGGGAAGAGCTGCCAGGCTTGGGAAGGTCTGGCCTTCCTTCCTGGCCTGTCCAAAACCAACAGCAAAGTCCTTTATCAAGGACTGCAGCTCTAGAGGCAGGAGATGAAAAATAGGTTTGAGGCAAGATAAGCAGTCAGTGACTCAGGTACTGAATATATTTAAAGAACTTCTGTTAGTCCTAAGATGAAAAGGCACAGAGAGGTCACAAAACCCAGATGAAACTTAGATTCAGATTATAAAGACCAAGGCATTAACTCCTTGTGAAGACTGCACACCTACAGTCTTGGAAGATTCCATTTCAGGATCATTTGTGCTGCCAAGGAACACCACAGGAAAAAAACAAAATGCAGGAGGCAGAGATTAGCACAATACCTTGTTAGGCTCTGCAGTTTTACAAGCACCAGATTCAGTCAGATGTACTTTTAAAAAGGTGTTTGTCCAGAAAGTTCTTGGAATTTATTATACACATTTAATAACAGATGATACTCAACATTCAGGTGTTGTTGAACTACGTTTACAAGCACTTTAGCATACAATGTATACTTATGCTAAGAAACAAAAGATTCAGCATATAAGGAAGTGCAGAAAGAAGCTACTTTAAAGATATCCCCTTCCATCCAATATCTACAGAATACCTGCTTTCTTTGAAAGCCCTACATGATGTCAAGTAAAAGGACTAATCAAATATCTACACTTCATTGTGCACATCACATCTACTTCAGATGCAGGACAAAAAGTTTCAAAAAGCATGTTCCATTCCTCCTTCCAGAGGAACCTCAGACTTCAGAATTGGTTTGATTTCAGAAACAGAGCTTGAATTTTTAAATAAATTCAACAGTAGCAATCCAGCAAGTTGGAAATGTGACTATGAAAAAGGCAGCAAACCACCAGGATTCCTCAGATGAGCATTCAAAACCAGTGTTGACGTGACTAAAGCTTGTAACTAAGTTAACACAAACCTGTCATTAATTTTTTGCAGGACCTTGAAGCCTTTTCCTTCCTATGATAAGCAATCTTCACCAGCAAATATTGTATTTGTTTGTTTTAAGCTTATCTGTCCTAACAAAGTGCTGACCAGGTGGACTATTTCACTCTTGCTTTGCAAGAACCAATCCAGACACAACAGGGGCATCAAGGGGCTGTTTCTGCTCCCCCCAAGACAGTTAAAAACAAAAGCCCCAGTTTTTCAGAAGCCAGCATCGGATCAAACACTTTTTGCCTATCTGTGTATTCATTAACCCTGTACAAAAAGAAAGCTGATTAGCAAATGTAAATGTTCATATAAAAATAGCCAACATCTGTTTAAATTTAGAAATTTATTTTGTTTAATCCACAAGCTTTATATAGCTTTAGTTAAAAAAAAAACAACAAAAACAAACAAAAACAAAAAACCAGTGAAAACATGACAATATCCAAAGTTCAGGTTCCTCAAACTTTCAAAGACCACAGCTCTGAAAGTTGCTTCTACCATTCAGAAGAACCGTAACGAGACAAGATTTATGGATGGGGAAACAACATCTCACAAACAAAATAGATGGAACTGAAGGAATTTTTTGTTTTGTTTTGTTTTTCTGGGACTGCTGATCATGGAAACTGCCCTTTAAAAAAAGAACATAAAAATACAAATGAAATTCCAGTGTTCCAAATCAACATGTTACATCAATATAAACCCACAGTGTCCTGGTAAACAACATGCTTTCATTTATGTACCATTCTAAATTGCTATTTTTGATTTGCTTTAATGGAGACTATACAGGCAACAGTAGAAAGCATTAAAATATATGTAACTCCCTTGGTAATTCTGCAGTGGTTTTATTTCTGGGCAAGCTTACAAACCACAAAGGTTAGTAGCATAATGTAAGTGGGTAGAACAGAAGTCAAATGAGACCCTTGCTAATTATGCTAAAGGCTTTGTTGAATTTCAAAGGAACTTGGGAATTGACCATCATGATTAAAACCTTTCAAAACAAATTCCTACTGCTTCTAAAAAGTCTCACTCTAAATGAAATTATGTTGACTTGTCAATGAAAGAATGTCACTAGTACACTGTGGACACCTTTTGTAATGTAAATCCATGCCCTTTGTACATGGTGAACCTCAACCTAGCAATTATTACAACAAATGTTATATTCTAAAGCTCAAACACATTTAGCAATTTGAAATTGAACTCTTGAGTACAAACCAAATAAAATGTACATTATATCAAAGGATCCGGCCTAGGATGGGGGTGACACTTGGGCCTTCCTCATTGACCTCAGTGCCTTCTCTCGCAGGTGTTTTTCTAGATCATCAAGGTTGTCTTCTGGTTCACTTTCTGTCTCCTTCAAACAAAGACAAAGCATTTCTTCACACACTGCACACTAAGCCAGGCTGCAGCCCTCCCCACATTGCAAAGCATCAAGACACTAACAATTTCTGAAATAAGATTGATGTTTAAACCACCAGAGTTCTGTGTGCATTCATCTCCATCTGTTTTCTTACACTGGACACAAAAATTAAACCTAAGTATTAAATTCCTACCTTTTTGGGTTCTGTCTCTGCTTCCTGTTCTTCCTGTGCTGAGGTGGTATCTGGTGCAGCCACAGCAACAGATGCTGCAGCTGCTGCTGCCTTCTCCTTCTTATGTTTTTTGTGCTTCTTGTGCTTTTTATCCTTTTTATGCTTCTTATCCTTCTTTTTCTTCTTCTTCTTTCCACCCCCTTCTTGATCTGAATTCTGTAACCAACAACACAACAGATATTACAACTCATTCCTAAGGCTTCAAGATGTTGGTAAAACAAACCCAGAACCATCCTGGGAAATATGAATGGACTGAGGAACATTTGAGCCTCAGTGAACTCAACACTGTTTAGAACTGGGGGAAAAGTCCAATTCCCAACCAAATGACAGAAGCAACCCTAGGACAGATACTGCAATGTACAGCTGTGCTGTGTCTGTTTAAAACAGAAGGTAACACCCTGTAATCTCCAGATGCTGGTCACAGCAATGACAGGCAAAGCTCTTCATCTAAATCAACACTGCAGGTGGAGTCTGACTCCCTGAAACCCTCCTCTGGCAAAGGATGGAAGTGTCCCTAGGAAACACCTTGGGAGAACTGATAAGGATGCCAAACAACGTTCTCCTCCTATTAGAAAGAGCCTGGGTTTTGCACATCAGATTAAGTATAAGATCACCTCACTTTGTAGACTATGAAACTCACATAGACTCATGAAGTAGGAAAGTCTTTTCTTGCAGAAGTCAGACTTAGTATCTAAAACTACCTTTTTTCAGACTCAAAAATGATAAAGTTTGAAAAATTTGTTACAAATTGTTCAACAGGAACTTTTAACTATAAAATAATCATTCTAAGAATTTTTACTTCCCCCCCCATGTGAATAACCTCAGAGCTGTTCAGCAACAAAGTCTTCATGAAAATAACTTGCCACAAAACCCAAACTAGTATTGCTTTTATTAGCAAACAAATACCCTTGCAGGTGATGGGCTCTGAGTTGGGCTTTTAGCCTTTTTTGCAGGTGACCAGTTAGCAGAGGGGGAACAAGAGCGAGCAGGAGAGGCAGGTCCTTGATGTTTTTTGGCTGCTGGCTCAGGGGACCCTGATGCGGAGCGGGATGAGGACACTCGTCTGGCAGATCTGGGACTTGGTGTGGAAGTCCTTAAAACCAAAAGAGCCACAATTAGAGACACAAGAGACAAAACAAGACAAGGAAAATCAACAAACAAGTCAGGTAAGCAAAAGCTAGCACCAAAACTCCTCAAGTGCTTTTCACCTGCTCAGTCCCCAGTGCTTTGTTGAGCTATTAGAAGACCCCTCAAACCCTACACAAAAGCCCCTTTAATGCTTCTTCCCATGTTACACTTCATTGCAACAGATGCTTCCAATCTAATAAACGTCCAAAAATCAATGTGGAAGCTGAACAGAGCCACCAGCACTTCAGAAATCTCAAGAACTGCTGTTGCTCAGTCTGGAGAGACCTTATTGCTCTCAACAACTACCTGAAAGGAGGTTGTAAGTGAGGGAGGAGTCGGTCTCTTCTCCCAAGTAACAAGTGACAGAGCAAGAAGAAATGGCCTCAAGTTGTACCACGTGACGTTTAGATTGGATATGAGGAACAATTTCTTCACCAAAAGGGTTGTCAAGCACTGGGACAGGCTGCCCAGGGAAGCGGCTGCCACGATCCCTGGAAATGTTTAAAAGCCCTGTAGATGTGGTGCTGAGGGACCTGCTCTAATGGTGGCCTTGGCAGGGCTGGGTCAATGGCTGGACTTCGTGATCTTAAAGGTCTTTTCCAACCAAAATTATTCTATCATTCCGTAACGTAAGAACCCCTTTTCAATCCAATCCCCTAGCCATTCCCACTGCATTAAACAAAACAAACCCCACCCCAAGACCACCACCAAAGAAGGATTTTTTTACTTTGTCTTCTTAGGTTCTGGCGTTCTTGACACCCTCCTGATGGGTCTAGTGCTTGGAGATGGTGACTGTCTTCTCTGGGGTGAAGCTGAAGCTCCCCTTCGTGGTGGTGGTGGGCTTGCAGAGGTATGAGAAGCTCTAGGCCGTGGTGAAGGTGAATGCCTTTTGTTTTGCGGTGGAGAACGCGTTTCCCGATTGGACCTACTGGGAGGAGATCCCTTCCTGTGCTTGGAAGATATCGAAGGTGAACGCCTTTTAGCAGCTGGGGAGCTCCTTTGTTTTGGGGGTGGTGAATGGGAGACTCTGCGTTTGGACTGTGGAGAAGGTGATGCCCTTCGTTTCGGGGGGGGCGGAGGAGAAGCTGTTCTTCTTTTAGGTGGTGGAGAAGGAGAATATCGTCTCTGAATCGGTGGAGAGTATCTCCGTGGAGAGGGTGAGCGTCTGCGTGGGGGTGGTGATGGAGACCTTCAGAGAAAACAGAAGGTCAGGAGCCACATCAGCATGTGAATTTGTTACAAGTGTCTTGCAATTCGCCCAAAGAAAGGAACAAATTTCTCTAAAAATTCTGCAAGAAGCAGCCTCCTGGTATCAGAGGGGGGGCTACAAGAAAGCTGGAGAGGGACTTCTTACAAGGCAGTGTAGCAAGAGGACAACAGGTGATGGCTTAAAACTTGAAGAGCAGAGATTTAGGTTCTGGGCATTAGGAGGAAATTCTTGAGTGTGAGGATGGTGAGAGCCTGGCCCAGGTTGCCCAGGGAAGCTGTGGCTGCCCCATCCCTGGCAGTGTTGAAGGGCAGGTTGGATAGGGCTTGGAGCAACCTGGGCTGGTGGGAGGTGTCCCATGCAGGGGGGTTTTAAAGTCCCTTCCAACCCAAACCAGTCAGTGATCCTATGAAAATCAGCTTAATGTGTGTTATTAAGAATTTGATATGGCAACAAAAGAATACAGAATCATAGAATATGCTGAGTTGGAAGGGACCCATCAGGATCATTGAGTCCAACTCCTGTCCCCATGTAGAGCCCACCAAGTCTACATCCCCCTCAGTAACTGTGAATCAAGGAACTGGTTTCCCCCATCGTGGCATTTCTTGTTATACACCACAGTGGGAAATCAACAGCCCAAGAAGCAGCCATTCCATGACAAAAGCACATAGAATTTGTCCCCTACCTTCGACGGGGCAAGGAAGGGGAGCGCCGCCGCCTGGGAGGAGGGGCAGGCGAGGGGGAGCGTCGCCGCCGGGCTGGGGGGGGCGGGG